ATAAAAATAAGATTATTTTGCCTAATTATGACAGTAGTATCAAACCTAAAAGTTGAATGCAATTATTGAGGGTGTGGGTGTGGGTATGGGTATGAATTTGTGTGAGTGTAGGAGTGGTTGTTCATTGTTTTCCCACACCTACACCCACACCCTCGAAATATTAATGTCGCTAGGAAAAGACATTCATTGATATTATTATTATGACTAATTAGCCTGTAATGAATTTGACTCTTCAAGATTCAATTATAGAATTTTTGAAAGAGTATTCTTCTTCTCCTCCTATAAGACATCAATGATGAAAGTTTATCATTGATACTATTTCATTATACCATCAATAGATTAGATAGTCTTATTTGAGAAAAGAAACTAATCACAAATTAGATTCATACACAACCCCAACTAAATGAATATGGTTCTTTTCTAATAAACTGTACGTGACATTCGTCATGTTGAACTGATCTTGGACAATCTGGTGGTACTGTATCATTATATGTCTTAGCTTGTTGTAACCCAGAAAGTATTGGAGATTCTAAATCAAGACGAATCTCATTTTTTTGATATTTTAAACATGATTTAGCAATATGAAATGTATAAGGTATAAACATACTACTAGTTTTACCGATAAGACAACTATTTATTGTTATAGTAGCCATTGTATCAACTTGTTCTAAATGTATTATTATTTGATATGAAGCAAGAAAATCAGAAAATAAATAAATTTGTTTTTGTAAATATCCAGTTATTATATATTAAATAACGTAAATCAATATCATTATTTTCCAAATAGAGATCAGGAATTTATTTGGCCGCAAAAAGTATTGTATGCTGTATGATTGATGTTATTATTTATTATCCAATCACCACCAGTTAATGAAGTACAATTGAAAGTTAATGATGAAATAAATAAAACAAGAAAAATGTATAATAATTGTTGAAACATTGTTCTGTTTCTTTTGAAAATTTATGTGATTTTGAACCTAATGAAAGAATAGAAAGATATTTAAACATTCTTTCAAAATTCAATTTAAAATAAATAATTCATTTGCACATCTCCCCACGATATATGTCTTATCAAAACAATAGATATCGTTTCTTTTTAGGATTCGCGGTTGTTTATCAAATTTACGTCGTTTTTTCTTTCTAGAGGAAAAAAAACTAAAAGATATGAATGATAAGATGATCAGGGGTGGCGCGACCGGGGGGTAGTCGGGGGTGCGACACCCCCCCAATCTTCAAAAATTTCTGTTTTTTTGCTCAACAAAATCAGGAAATTTTCTTCCATTTGTCACCAAAAACAATGTTACACCCCCCGAAAAATTGCAGACTTCGTCTTTCTAGTCCAAAAAATTTCGCTACACCCCCCCAATGTTGGTTGACTCGCGCCACCCCTGAAGATGATATTCATATCTATGTATCTCTATAAAATTCTTTAATATTTATTGTTATCACATGTCGAGTTCATCATAGTATTCAACAATGTTTATATGCAGAAAATTTTGAATATTGAAAATTGATCAATCATCTAAAATGTAAGAAAATATTTAAATGTCGAAAAAGAATGTGAGTGACTAAAGGTAGGAACACTCACACATCTTTGTCCACATGATCCAGCTCCATGGGAGATCGAGATGCGAATTGTCGTACTGTTTGATCGATATTAATGTAGAAACGAGTATTCAGAGTCAACGAAAAAGAATTGTTTTTTCTCTAAGCAATATTCTATAAAATGTCTATGTTTTAGTTCATCAACTTTTTCTTGATCTTGTTAATACTCTTATTTATTCACCAGTGATTTTTTTATCGTGTGCATTTGTTCCAATAATCAAATACACAATATGAATTCTTCTACATTTCATTTTTATTTCAAAAAAAAAGAAAATATTTACAACCAAATATCAAGTGAATATGTCTTATATCTATATTCTAATGAATCAATCAAATGTGGTCGAGAAAGTAACAATCGAGCATACCATTCTGGAGCTAATTTCGATAAATTATAACTATTATCTTGAGATTCTGTATCATGTTGGAAATATAATGTAAAATGAATAAGTGCTGGAAAACGATCTAATATCTTTCCAATATGAACAAATAGATGATCAATAGTAAGCCATGAACTTGGATGTCCATCAACATTTAATGTTAATTGTTTCAAGACGATTGATGATGCTGATGAATGAGTAAAAAGAATGTCAACAATTTCAACAAGATCACCAAGTGAACAATTAGAATCTTTTGCAGTAAAATAAAATATTTCAAGTTGAGACATAAGTAAAATACCAAGTTGAACATTTGATGATAGTATACGACCTAAATTTAGATTTGCTTCAATATAAAATTCACGAAAATATGGTGCACATTGAGCAATATGAAGTAAAAGTGGAATATTTTCACCAAGCTTTTCACTATATTACAAATACAAGAAAAATATATTTATAGTCAATATTTCTGCTAACTTACGTCACATCTAGATAATCACTTTCAAGAATTATTTTTCTTAGACAATGCCAACGAGGAACTAATTGAAGATATTCAAGCAATTCATCATCAATATAATCTATTTCCATAATTTCCATCTGAAAATTGAAATAAAAAATATTCTTTTTTTTCTTTCCTATTGTGATTATCTTACTTTGACAACATATTCATTGATTGGTTCATCATCGAAAAGTTCAACTCGTGGGTGGGTGTGGGTGGGTGTGGGTGTGGGTGTGGGTGGGTGTG